CACAGTCTGTTGCAGTGATATGGTTGGTTATGGACGTCGTGAGCTTTAATTGGAAGCTTGTAACTTAAAATCTAAACTCGTTTTTGCAGGAGGCCTAATTACATTTTAACAAGGGTGATGAATGTGTGTGCAGTTAAATCCAATACTGCATTGTGCTTTTCAGTCACAGTATTGCTGGTTGCTGTCCTTTAGCGGCAACCAGTCATTTCCTTATTTGTGCTAATACAAATTACATTAAGGCTACTTTTTCTGTTGTTTGATACATCTTTGATGAAACAGGATTTTTTAAAAATCCTTTCTGACTTCACCTGTCTATGCCTGTAAGTCACACTTATAGTTACAAACACCTGGTTCATAACCTTACTTATAGAATAGTGGAAAGAATGTGGATCATTACAACAAGTAACTTGTCAAACATTTGAGTGAAAAACATACATTAGTATATTCTCAGCACTGTTTAAATTATCCTAATATAAATTGCCATGGTTGTAGAAATTAGCTATAAATATAATCTGCTTGAAATTCAAGAATTACACTTTAATTTCAGGTCTTTAATTCTTGTAAGTGTTTGAAATCCACAGATTGTCTGATATGTTTTATTAGAGAAGTGTTCTTCTTTAGATAACAACGTTTAAATGAATAAAAAAAGAGGACAGAGGTCTCCCTTTGTTTTTCATGCATTGTTAGTCGTCTTGGTGGAAAAATACATCATCATTAATAATAATCAGCTTTTGCAAAAAATCTACATATCACTAGTCAGGCTGCAGAGTTTAATTGTTGTCAAGTTGAAATCACTTTGGCAAGCTGAACTCTAACAGATACAGATGAGAAATCTAAGCTAAAGTTGGTAAAATCAGCAACGTTCTGAATTACTTTCAGGATGCTGTTTGGTTTTGTTTGTCAGTAGTCATAACTGAAAGTTCACCTTCAGTCTATTTCAGGTGAAAGCTGTAATTTTCATAGGTTTTCACTAAAGAAGTGAAGCAGCTGATACAGTTTTTTTAACAGGTTGTGTCCTGCAATATAAAAAGCTTCTGTATTCTGGAGAACAATAGAGAGCTGATGGTCACGGTCTCTTCTGTTAGTAGTTGTTCTCTGGAAATGTGTTGGGTTTCACCAAAATATTTCTGTTAGATTCAGAAGCGTATCTGAACAACACAGGCAGTGTGAGCAGGCCTGGTAACTCATTCCCACATTGACATTTATCTCTTTCTGTTGCTCTGGTAAATTTTTTGCTCAGTTGCATGATGAGACAGATCAGGGAAGTGATCCAGGTTAAAAATAAGATTTAAAATTTATTTTTGTTTTGGATCAGCTCTCTGATGCGGTTCATTACACAGTTGTGTAAGTAGACTACTGTAACTGGGAGAGAGGAAGAAAGGAGAAAGTATCAGGAAAGAAACAAGCAGCCGGGTGGGATAAAAGCAAGAGGGGGAAAATGGCAGTGGTGGTGTTCCCCAAAAAATTGCAAAATACTTTTATAATTCAACACATTGTTCAGTGGTAATTTGATTTTTGCATGGCTTATGCCTTGCAAGGGACAGAAGAGTTCCAGTTTTCTTGGAAAATTAAAATTCCCAAAGCTGTCTGTAATTTTTGAGAGAAAAGCTGCTTTATTCTTAAATATTTGCCGGTCATAATTGTAGTGCAGCTGAGTCATTTTATAATACGCAGTTCAAAGGAGGGAGCGGTTTTGTTGTATCTCCAAAAAGGATTTGGCTGCACTTGGTCTCAGGAGGAAAAGTGAAACTAAACAAAATCCACTTAATAACAAAATGTATCAGGCCCCGTGAACAAAGCAACTGAATGGTCTCAGCTACAGTCGTGCTAACGTAGCCAAAAGGGAGTGTTCACCAGGGAACTAACTCTTTCCTACTGTACTTACTGAACTTCAGTTATTCATGAGCTAATTAAAGTGGTGGTTTGATGGAATGAAGTGTTAGGGGACAAAATGGCCTTAAATATTTCCTGATGAACTCATCAGGAAATGAGTTGTTGCTGACAGCCGAGTATGCTGTGAAGCAAACTACAAAGGTGCTGGCCTTGAACCACTATTCCCCCTTTTTTAATCTGGTTTCGTTGAGTGCCCTTGTTTCAGTGCCTTACATGAGTGAATGGTGATACCTGCTCTGAGGTAGATTCCTGTGAACTACCCTGTGGGGTACTCGCTTGCCTTTTGCTGGAGGAGGTATCAGAGCCAAGAATCAATTTCTTACGGTTCCTGTGTTCCAACTTGTATCTAGTCATTTCATATAAATGGTTCACAAGTTCCCGGTTCTGCGTACCACCTTCCAGCCCTTCTCAAAACCTTGCCACTTGGAACAGCGATCCAGAGAAGATCAACATAATTCTTGTGTTTGTTTACAGAAGATGCTGTTTCTTTAAAAGGCAATTCTTTTTAAAGTTAATTGCTAGTATGCAGCAGTGCAATGAGGGATGGAGAAGCATTGTGTTACACAGGCAATGTGTGAAGAGATTTTCTTTCCGTGCACATGTACACTTACCTGTGATTATGTCAGTGTTGGTGACGCTGAGGTTGGTTCCTTCATCAGCATTGTCTGGTGACCGGGGGTGGGGTGAGGGGGTTCACAACTGTGAATTCATGCCTTTATCAAAAATAGTTAGGACCTTGCACCAAGTGCATATTGCTGAGTTTACAAAGCCAGTAGTGACTAACTCCAGAGGTCCCAGTCTACCTGGGTTGTATGGTTGGAATGTTTCCCTAGCTAGCAGCAGAGAAATATTTTAGCAGTGAGTTGAGCTAAGCAGACGCTGAATGCTTGAATGTCCATCTGTGTGGTGGCTTTTTTTGAATGTTAGTGTTTATGTTTTGACAAGGAGGGATTTCGGGGGGGGGAACCCCAGTTGTTTCTTGTGTATTTTGATTATGAAGCTTAGAAAACAAAGGAACAAATGCTGCCAGCACTGTGAATGGTTGAAGTGAAGAGAATGATACAGAGATCTTAAGGTCCATTGAGTTACTGCGCTACTATATAAAAGTGCTTGTCAGTGTAGTATTTCTGTAAAACTTATGAAGTATGGATATGTACCCACTATTTTTAAACATTTTTCTGCTTTTAAGTATATTATCATGTGGATTATATTATGGTTTTTTATGTAACTACACTGTACAAGGACTATTTGAGCGTTACGTATTAGTAGATACTGCTTTTTATGCCATCAACATAACTATGCCAGTGAGGCTTAAGCACGTATGCGTAGTGGGTTTGTGTTAAAGGCCTTGTAAAAGTATAATTACACGTATTCTCTGTGGTAGTGCGCATGCAACCATATCAGTTTCAGCAGTTAAATTTCTCCAATCAGTGCATTGACAAATCCTTAAGTTATATGGCTATTTAGTTCTGGTTTTCCTGGTCTTTTGATCTAGGTGAGTGTATATGAACCCAGGCTTTCATAAGTTACTTGAGAGTACTTTTGTCACTGACATCTATAAGATACATCTCATAAATATGTACTTTATTTGCATATTCTCATCTAATCCTAGTAGTGGCTACATTCCTCTGGTTATATCTTCTTATAAGTGAGGATAAAATGTTAAAAGCACAAACCACTAGTTGAGAGAATCTGGCAGGTGATTTTGATCAATATGGGCAAAAGGAGCAATGACATCAGCCGGTAAGGTGCTCAGTGTATTTGGTGCTGTTCACTTTTTGGCATTAAGTTTAATACTCATGGTGTAAGATGTATGTTTTTAATGTTTGAGAGGCTGTACTTCTGTTACATCCTAAGGCTTTGATGTTTTCTATAACCTCTGGCAACAATTCCTTATATTTTTATAAAGAGACTTTGATAGGGTGACAATATAACGCATACTCAGAATATAGTATAATACTGTGTCGAATTCTGTATTACCCTTTTGTCTTTAATAGCTGTATTAACGTTCCCTTTAAAAGGTGTTAGTATGCCAATATCTAAAAGTAAATTAAATGTCAGCCTTTTGGTAGCGATGCATAAAACAGCTTCATTTAATATTACTTTATTTAATGTACTGTTTTCTGGCTTGGTATCATTGAAAAGCCCAAACTAATGCCATTGTTTGTGGTTTATTTCAGCTTTGTCCAAAGTTTTTGCATACCAACTCTACCAGTCACACCTGGCCTTTCAGTGCAATTGCAGAACTTATAGGTATGTGAATCAATAGTTTGCCTGAGTACTTGATGGTAATACTGTTTTCTTGTTGTAAAACTTTCCTTCAAGTAGAGGACAGAGTTGATCCTGTTGTTACCATTCAGAATCTTAAAACTTTTTTTTGTTACAGTCAGATTGACTTTTTTTCTTAATAGCACATGTTATACCTGACATCAGTTGCAGGAGCCTTGTAGGATTTGCTGTTTTCTTTTTTACTGAATTTGTTAAGGATTGCCAAAAATATAAGACTGTGGGACCAAGTGAATTCCTTCTAGTCTACCAAATGCAAGCCTACTGCTTTTTGCTGTTCCCAGGCCCAGAGACTAGTAAGGCTGAGTGCACATTCCAAAGATGTGCGTGCATGCTTGCATCCTGTACAGACACAGCTGGCCAGGGACAGATTAGCAGAGACAGGAGGACAGTAACTTTGCAAGAACCCACGTAAACACAAGCAGTGTTCGAAAAATGAACAGCACAAATGGCCTTATCCTAATCCTGCTTCCTGGCTAACCAGGTTTAAAGTTCATTAGCGGCGCGTACGTGTACTTTCACTCACTTATCACTCGTGCTTACCCATGTTTCTGGGTGTTTCGCCAAGACCAGGGAGTCCTTCCAGCACCTGCATCCTGGACTTTTTACCAGTCTCTGGCTTAGACTTTGGATCTCCATGGCTGCTGGCGTTTCCAACTTGTTGGCTTGTCCAACTTGAAGTTTGCTAGCAGAACAAATGCGTACTAGAGAGCACAGTCACGCAGGACATCGTTAGAAATAGCGTTTAAGCACAGGATCCAATTGTACAAGCCTGCTGACCAGCAGCCAGCTTGCACACAATCAGCCTGTGTTATTCGTGATTCCCCCCACTCCATTATACTACTTTTCTCCCATCCACTTTGACCTTTCCCTTTTCTTTGATGCTTCCTCAAAACATCTAATAGTAATTTTTGCACATTGTCACAAACATCCTAATTTTCTTCTTTTGGGTTACCAAGTTTCTGTCTGAACATCTTCAGGGTTATACTTGAGTGGTTTCTTTTAATGATCCATCCATGTCCTAAGAGTTCTCTTTGTTATTGTCTCTGTCATCTGCTGTTAGCTAGAGCTTGTGTATCTGTTTAATTTATTAGCTCCTGTTGAACGTCTTGCCTTTGATTTTTGAATAGCTGTTAACTGGGTGTCTTCAGAGTTGCTTGTTTCAGAGTTAGGGAATGATTAGCAGACTTTCTTTTACTAGTTCCTCAAAATAAGGGTGTGGTTTGTAAAGTCTTGCTAAGCTTATCTGGTGGTTTGCTGCTGCCAAAGGGAGCAACTCTTCTGGTCACACATTCCTTGGCTTCCTGTGCATGAGTTTTGTTGTTGCTTAATCCAGAAAATTAACCTAACAAAAGAAAGCAGAAAATTTTCAGCTAGATAAGGCCAGAGCTGTCACAAAGGAGGAAACCAGAACCACATGGATTGCAGAAAGGGCTGGCTGTTTTGGGACTAACAAAATATTAAGTCATTTCAGCTGTTTTATCACTCGGTGCCATACCTGGCTGGAATGATTGTAGATGTGCTGTACGAGGCGTGCAAACTTGTCTTCCTTTGCCTCTGGTTTGTCGTACGTGTTGCTTTAACAAAGCTTCAAAAGCATTGTAGAAACATATTTGTTGTAAAGGCTTCTAGTTAGTCATGTTGATTTAAATAAGTTTTGTATTCTGTCTTTTGCATGCTATATAAGGCTATAATGTATGTGAAATATCAAATAATATAAATATGGTTACATTATGGAAGCCTGAATTTTAGTTTATGTGAACTTCCCTTAAATGGTAATGGTCTGTATGCTAAAATTTGCCTTTTAAGCTCTAGTTCGTCCAGTTAACTTTTTGCTGGTTGTATTGCTGGCTTCTCCCATTAGTCCTCAGTCATTAAATTTAGGTGAACTAACGGTGATACTCGGAAGTGGGTAAAAGACATCTAGAGAGAGGTTGTGAGCTAGCAAATCAGAAAACTTGTACAAAGTATGGTCTTGGAAGAATACTTGCAAGCTTTCAGTTGTATTTGAAATGTCGTCTTTTGTTGATGCTGAAATATATTTTATTATTTTTTTTTCATTGTGGATGCAATTTGTACTTTACGCTTATAGAAATCAAGCTACCAAGCCATGATTCCTTTTTATAGGCTGAAGTGTTGACTTGAGCTGTTTATTTATGGTCCGCAGCTGAACCTGCAAAACAGGCAGCAAGGCAGGGGCACTGCTTCCTGCTGTGCCATCACATCCCACCCCTCCTCCTCCGTCTTCCCACCCCCCCACCCCCACTTCCATGAATGCTGAGGAAAGGAGGAAAAGATGTGAGAAAGTGGTGTTAGGGCAGATGAGATTTAAACTGTCTTTGCTGTCAAGAAATGTTTGTGGAGCCATGGGTTTCGTTTCACTTGTGGTAGCTCTTTCAAATCCTGTAAACAGAAAGTTTGGTTTAAAGCATTTGGTACTTCCTTTCTGTGAAAGTCATACCTTCCTTAGATTTGAACAACTTGCACTAGCACAATACATATTTGTGACACTAAGCTCTGTTAATATGGAAATAATGTTGTAGCAGAGCAACAATATTTTTTTCACCTAAATCTTCTGTACCTCCGGAGTCAAAATTCTAGATTTCACAGAACTATCTAGGATACAGGGAGTTGGACTTCAGGTTTTTTGCTTGCTTTTCTGTAGTCTCTCAAATTTGATTATCTGAAGTTGTGATAGTATTTCAAATCTGATTTTCTAATTAAAAAGCCCACAGCAGCTGTCATTGCAACCGTGTATATTGGTGATGTGCCATTGTCTGCATTGTGGGCAATAACCTTGCCTCCGGAGAGCCACCCGGAAGAGATGTTTGCGTGGTTAGGAGAAAGCAAATATTGCAACAGGCGCTTGGGAGACAGGAAACGAAAGTAGAAACTTCTCTTGGTTTCGTTTTCTACTCTCGTGTTTGAGCCACTCATCTCCATCTGAATTTTTGCCTATGTATTAGAGTCTTCTGTAATAGCTGGGAAATTGGATGTTGTTTCCAGGTTTTGATGCAGCTGTTTCATTGTAATGTTTGATTTAGTGTTGTCATCTATAAAGAAGATAGTGTTTTAGGAGACTTAGGTTTTAACACAACATTTACTTTATTAAAAACTATGGCTTTTTGCTTCTGTGCAAAAGGTGACTAATATTCAGTGACTTAGCTGAGAAATTTGTATCTGTGCCAGCACAAAATTTCTGCAACTATATTACATACCTACCTGCAGAGCTGAAAAATGACTGCAAATTTAGACCTCCATTAGTTTAGCGTGTGACTCTTCAGGGTTCATAGGCCCATGATTGGGGAACTACGTTAAGCTGCCGTATTCACCAAATAAACATATGTGCAAGCATAGGACCCTAATAAAGTTAGGGACAACTATTCCACATAGCTGTTTGGCAGTGTTGCAAGACTAACATTCAGCAGATTGATTATACATGTATTCCTGCTACATAGGGCTCTGTTGTGTACAACGTACAGATTTAAGTAACTTTGGAAGAGTTGCTATCTGACATCTTCACTGGAATTAAACACTTAAGTATGAACATATTTTAAAACTGTTTAATTTTTGCTTTTTAGTATCCCACCCTTGTTTGCTTTCTTTCTCTTCAGATAACGCTTATGATCCAGATGTGAGCGCTAAACAGATATGGATAGACAAAACGGTGATAAATGACAACATATGCTTGACGTTCACTGATAATGGAAATGGCATGAACTCAGAGAAGCTGCACAAAATGCTAAGGTGGATAACCTCTTTTGCAACTTTTTTTGTTGTAAAAATTCCAGCTTCCAGTTCTGTTATTGCTCAGCTTATTCCTTTTTCTCATATGTATGAATTTTAATCATAAACTTAAAGTTTCTGAAGGTGAGACTCTAGAATAGACATGCTAGCAAAACTTTCACACAACTTTATCAGTGTATTTTTATCTCGTAATTTCCTCTTATCCTGTCTGTCAACCTTCCCATTTAACTTACCATGCAGTGGTTGTGCTGTGTAAACTCTCTGTACTGCCCTTTAGTGGAGCTAAGGAGAATTTAATTTTTTTTTTATTCAAGATTTCTTTAGTTTAAGTTAGCAAGCAAGAGGAAAAAAAGGAGATTCAGTTCAAGCCCTGTGGAGTATTGAAAATAGAAGCTGTTGTGGAAAACAAAAAAAAATATTGATGTGGTTTGTCTACTTATTTTTAAATATTCTATAGGGTTTGAACTGATCTTTCTGCAAGTTTTGTTTCTACAGTTAGCAAAGAGGTTACTGTTCAGTTGCTCTTTTAGTCTGAAAGATTGTTCTGCCTGCAAATAAATCTCTGGGTTTAAACTTGAGCAAGCTTAAATTAAAAATATTATTTTTCTTTTTTTCTGTTAGATACCATAATTAATAGCTTTTTGCTAAGTTCCAGGTACCTGTTTTACTTTAAATGTAATGTATAGTTACTAATGGAAAATTTGTAGATCAAACATTTTCAAGCAAGTGGAGGAGGAAAAAAAAAAAAGCTTTAGGAGCTTTTCTTAATATTTGTTGTGAAGCCACGGGATAACTATTAGAATCCCGTAGGAATGTTTATTGCAGAATTCCAGACATATGATATTTCTGTTCCATACTTAAAGATGAAAGTAAATTTCCCTGAATCTTGCAGTGTGGTTTTAGCAATGTTATATGGGTAATTTTCAGCATTTGCTTAACTGTGCATTGTTTAATTGTACAGTAGTCCCTGATCTCTAAAACAAGCAATTAACTCATTGTGTTTAAGTCTAATTTGGTAAGTCTTGCATGCATCTTTTGGGTGTTCAAGTTTTATAGGGCTTTTTACACTCTTCTAATGTTTTCATATGTTTCAGCTTCGGCTTCAGTGAGAAATCTGTGATGAATGGCCGTGTTCCGGTGGGACTATATGGAAATGGGTTTAAATCAGGTTCTATGCGCCTGGGAAAAGATGCAATAGTCTTCACCAAGAACGGAGAAACCATGAGTGTGGGTCTGTTATCTCAGACTTTCCTTGAAGTCACAAAAGCAGAACACGTCATGGTTCCTATAGTGACATTCAACAACCAACATATCCTTTCAGCAATTTCTGAATGAAAACTTGGGGGTACATGCAATATTTGGATGATAATATCAGTAAAGGAAATCTCCAAATCTCCCTGTCTAGTCTTGTGAATACCCTAAATAAATTGTAAAATGCAAGGAATGCTATAACTTGTTTAGAACCTTTATATGTGTTGGAGCTCTGAAACGTGGAATGAGAACCTGTGAGGTCAGTACAGGATACTGTTGCAGAAGTTTCCTCATCTTCTGAAAGCTTACTTCATTCAAAGTTACTCTCCTTAACATAACGCTTACGACAGATAAGTGATCCAACAGAATCCAAAAACAGCCTGAAGGCCATCTTAACACATTCTTTATTTTCTACTGAGGAGAAATTACTGGCAGAGCTAGATGCTATAATAGGGAAAAAAGGAACAAGAATTATAATTTGGAATCTTAGAAGGTAAGATGAAGTCCAGTCTCTTAGATGTCTCAGTTCATGTTATCTTTCAGTGTATGCAAACATACAAAGGGTTCTTTTTGTAGAAGAATTCCGAAAGACTGTGGGCAGTTAGCTGTAACTGGGAAACTAGACTCAAGCTCGCATGATTGAAGGGCTGTATTGTTGCGTGAGAACTGTTGCTAATATCTCAAGTAACAAAGCAGAAGGAAGGAGAATGTAAAGGACTTCATATTTTCCTTTGAGGTACTGCTTTTGCCAGAAAGAAAATTGAAATAAACTATAATTCTGTTTTTTCAGACGTGTGAAATTCTCAGTGTGAAAATTCAAACAAAAATATTTGTGTGGATGGACAAGTACTACTAGCTTTTAAAGCTTGGAGTCAGCAGCATCCTTTTAGAGGGATCTAGACCTTTCTTAGCTGTTTATCACAAAATAAATAGAAATCAAACTAAACAAATACACTTGTATGTATCTCTTCTACTTGCCTCTGTGGGATTGTACTATGTTCTTAAGTGTTTAGCTTACTGTAGTTTTAAATATCTGAAATAACAAGGTATCTATAGGAAGCAATTTTGAGCTGGTTCAGTCCTGTGAATTTGGTGAGAAACTAGCTTCTTTTCAGTTTCGTATCTGTATTGTTGCATATGAGAAAAAGGGTGGGGAGGGGGGCAGGAAACTACACCTCAATGAGTATACATTAAATGTTACAGCACAAAAAATATCTCTGTCAATTATAGCAGGTGAAAAGTTTGGAGATTGATTTTTTTTTTCATTCGTTTCTTGCGAGTATGAGAGCTCTGAATCACTTCTAGCTTAGGAGATTTTAACACAAGAAGGCTGGAGGTAACAAATATGTTGCTAACTCTGGTTTTCCCCTTGCCACCTGCTCCATAAGGAAAAACTTCACCTCCTTTACACTTCAGAAACTAATTTGCGTTGGCCATGTAGACTTTCATTTATTTTTAGGTATGAACAGGTGTATCACTTTGTTGCTTAGGCAAATGAAAATACTGTGAACTCAGGTGACTGGGCAGAGTAACTTTCATGTTCTGAATTTTGGAGTGTATTCATGGGAAGTTGTGGGAAAGAACACTTTGGGGGGGGGTCATGTTATTTCTAATATGTTATAATCAAATCTATTTAAAAAAAACCCAAACAAAACACAGAGCTGTTTCAGTATTTAAAAAAATTATTTCTAGAATATTTGTGCCAACTATGATATGTCTCAATGCTGTGCAAAGGTACTGCCAGTATACTGCAGCATATAGATCTGCAACTAAATATAGTGTATACATATTGTGTTAAGTATTGAGTTGGAAAGCTGTGGTGAGTGTCACTTTTGCAGCATTAAAAAAATCTTAGGCAATTTGTAGTGTTCAGAAATTTTGCATTTAGAAGGAATGCGTGTGTCTTGGTCCATCTAGAATTTAAAGCTGATACTGACTGCATCTTTGTGATACCTACTGGGTCCACCACAATATCTTATCTTGTGTTGGCTTTTTTTTTTTCCAAAAAAAATTAGTATATTTTTTAATCTTATTTCTTAGAGATAAAAATGAAAAAACAGAGTTTGATTTTGACAAGGATAAATACGACATCAGAATTCCGGAGGACTTAGATGAAACTGGCAAAAAAGGGTATAAAAAACAAGAGAGACTGGACCAGATTGTTCCAGAAAGTGACTATTCTCTGAGAGTATGTATAACATTTTTTAAAATTTATTTGTTTATTTTTGGAAGCTGGAGGGGGTGTGGTTTTGTTTTAATATAATGTACTGTACTATACAGAAGTGTTGATTGTAGGGGGAAGACAAATGTCAGTATTGAAATATTGGGGCAACATGTAAGCATTAACTTTGAAAATTGAAGGTGGAATATGTTTCTGAACTTATGTAAACATTTGCTGTTAGTTTAGAAGGAAATGACTATGTTTTCTGTAGTCCTGCTTTTTTCTGTAGTCCTACTTTTGCTGAAACATAGCCATCATTATCCACTAAGGAGCAAGAAGGAAATACAATTAGTAGCTTCAGAAATTAAATAGGAGTATGTGTGGTTGTCAGCAGAGTAGGCATTTAATTGTAGTGCAGGTATACATGTATGTAGTACTGATGCTATCCCCACGTGGATCTTTTAGAACAGGTGCATTTTGGTGTCAAAGTATCATTTCTAGGTTTCAAAAAGAGGTAAAGGAATTGGGAAACAGCTCCGTTGTTTGAATACATGCATGCAGACAGAAACAAGGTTTTTCTTTAGGCTGATACAACCATTGTCACCACTATTGATTCATAAGCTTTGAAGGCTTCATTTTGTAAGAAAGTGCATCTGGAATTACTAGGTGTTCTGTGCTTTTCTTGTGGATAATATTCAGAAGTATTATTCCAGTTGAACTAAAACCTTCAGTTATTCAAAGACTCGCTCAAGTCCTATATCCACTTCAATATTAGAAGTTATAAATATAATGATAAATGAAATGGAAATTAAAATTCATAGATACACACGTTTATAACAAGATTGCATAGCTATTGTCAAGCTATGATAATATGCAGTCATTTGGAACAAAGTTAACACACTTGCTCTTGTTTGTTATTTTGAAGTTTGTAGTAGAATTTTTAAGCTCTCAGTAGGGGATAAGAAAAGAAAGGGTTGTGTGTTTAAGTGCTCTTTTAGTGGTAAACTGCATCTGCTGTCACCTGATTAACTTGTCATATTCATAAAAGTTGTCCTTCAATTGCTATTCATTTAATTTGTGATATATCTATGCTTATTATACACATTTGCTTTTCTTATTTTTCTGGATTCAAGTTGGGGAAAAAAACCACATTTCAAAATTTAATTAAAACTTGAGTTTGTCTTCCTAAACATAATGTATATTGTGAAATATTCACATCTTCAGGGGGTTTGGGTTTTTTAATAACAGGAGTTACTGTATATTTTGTAGGCTTATTGCAGTATTTTATATCTGAAGCCAACAATGCAGATCATTCTGAGAGGACAAAAAGTGAAAACACAGCTGGTTTCCAAAAGCCTTGCCTTCATTGAAAGCGATATATATAGGCCAAAATTTTTGAACGTATCCTTTGCTAATATTTATATCATTGCACGTTGAATTTAGTTATTTGACTTTTTATGTAAGCGGTCTGGATTCTGCTGGGTATGTTGCAGTTACGTGGTTGGCTGGGGGGGGTGGTGTGTGTGTTTGTTTTGGTTTTTTGTAAAGACATATTGAAGGAATTGTCTCAATATAAAAAAAAAAAAGTTCCAGGACCCAGTTTAGAATGAACACTCAGAGTAACTATATTTTTTTTGTTACATGAGATTAAGCAGATTTTTCCTTAATATCTGGTAAAAGGCTAAAACAGTAAGAATTACTTTTGGATTTAACTGCAGAAACAAAGATCACTATGGAATAATGATGTACCATAAAAACAGACTCATCAAAGCTTATGAAAGAGTTGGCTGTCAGTTGAAGGTAAGAAGTTAAAGCTCAAAAATATTTTAAAATCTTTAGAAATCATTTTCACTCAGATGCTGATTTTAAAAAAGAATATGGGTGGAAACTGAGATATTGATGCATCCTTTATAAAAACCACCTTTTTTAGTTTGTGCAGCAATTAAAAATTTTATTAAATTGTATGCAGTTATTTTAATGTTTGTTTTTGAAGCTAAGCTTGATACACAAAACATGAGCCTGAGCATATCTTTCAGGACAAAAAGAGGGGTGAAACAGAGGATTTTTTGAGGGGGGTTGTGCCGAGAGTTTTTGGGGGTTTTTTTGGAGAGGAGTCGTAAGCCAGAAAATTGTTTTTACCTGGTATATATAGCTTATAATTACCTCTGACAAACTCTTGCAGTATTACCAGGAAACACAACATATATTCTATGCTAGATCTTGATTTCTTACAGGCAAACAACATGGGTGTTGGTGTAGTTGGGATTATTGAATGCAACTTCCTAAAGCCAACTCATAACAAACAAGATTTTGACTACACAAATGAATACAGGTAAATATATGTTTTTATGTAGACTTTCTATTGAGTAGTGTCATGCACTGTGAAATACTTGATGATAAAGGCTGCTTCTTTTCTGAGTAGTAAGAATAAAAGCTTATGTTCCATCATTAAACCACGACTGTTCTGAACAGTAGGAGTTATACTGCGTTCATTGTGTAGTCAGTGAAGTCTGAAGTATCATACGTATCATTTTAAAGCAAGTGCCCTGACAGTGATTGGCTGCAATTCTGCCCCTCACTGATTGTAAAATGAGCACAGAATAACTTGCTGAGATGTGGATACATGTATGGCACGTGACTAAAATTGTGATACGTGACTCCTATGCTGTTAACATTTTTCATGACAATTTTTGTTTGGTCTTTTCCAAACAAGCTTTGTTGGATATTTTTGAGCCCTTTTCAATTTATTTCCTAAGCATGGACTTGAATGCCCTCAAATCCTCTGCTACTTGATAGAGCATTTGAAATATTTGACATACTGAAGGCAGCGGTTATTTGGGACATTCCTTTGTTTCAGTTTTTAATTCTAGCTCCAGCTGCCAGTGCTGAGCCTGTTGTCCGAAAAGCGAATTTGTTGCCCGGTGTGCAGTAAGGCAATTCTCACACACACAGGAGAGATACTGCTTTTATTCAGGCCTGGGTGCTCAGTGGATTTCCACAAATCAAGCATACCTAATGCCAGCTTTTTTGTCATATACGCAAATGTTACAAGGTAGCAAACTCCCAGTTACAATGATTGGTTTAGATTTCTTCGTCTAGTATGCAAACTAGAATGCATGCTCAGTTCTTTTCTCTACCTTTATCTTTCAAGTAGGTGGTATAACTTGGGTAGGTGGTCCATGGGTCGGTGGTCGCAATTCCCCCTGCCGGAATTACCTTTCCCCTAGTTTCCCCAGTACTTTGGCAATTCCAAATGGTTCTTCAGGGTCTGCTGGTTAAACTAACAATTTATCAGTAACGCTTCTACCTCTTGACAATCACATCTTAATTAGTATGTTTTTTGGATAAACATTAACTAACACAGGGGTACGACTAGTCGTCCTTAGCAGTACCTAGCAACTATCTGTAACATCCTTATCTGTGGAAAACTGCAGTCATGATTAACTTTAAATTCCATGAAAGGTATCAAGCCCCTCACTCGTGCTGGCCCATCCCAGGAGCTGGTTTTCAGGGGGGCATACTGTTCCTGCCTCAGTGGGTGGCTGCTGAGACCCAACTTTATTCAGTAGCTGACACCACACAACCCTGTCTTGACTCCAGGAGCTGGCACCAAATCCACTCACACGCACAGAGCTCTCACTGGTAGCTGGCACTTAGTCCTTGCCGTACACATATGCATGGGATAGAAAATGAAGTTATGTAGAGAGTTAAGAAAATATTTAATAAGACAATAGGACAAACTGCGGTCATCAGGCACAGGGTTCAGTCAGACAACTGTACTGACCGAACCTGTTTTACGTGCAACCAGCTCCTTTAATATCCTTTTCTATTTACCCCCTCTTTATTCCTCCCTGCTCCCCCTTCCCCATGCACATTGCCTCATCAGTTGGCATAGCTCCACTGACCCCCTCCAGACATCCTAGACCCTCAGGTTTGCATCTTTGTCAGCTGCAAAATCCTAGTTTGCTTGCAGCTTCTTGATGGTCCATCAATTAGTGTGACTGACTGGGTTTGTTTCTAGTTATTGTCTTTGTAAATGCTAGTTGGTCAGGTTTTATTACTCTCTGTGTTTGTCTCTTTAAAAAAAAAAAAAAAAAAAAACAAACCACATTCTCACGCTCCACATGTCCTTACCAGTTAGTGTGACTGACCGGGTTTGTTCTTATCACTACCTCCCTTGTCAGTCAGGTTTGTCTCTGTATGTTCTTGTTTGCGGCTCCTTTGACCGTAGGCCCTTAAAGGAGCAGGCACTTTCCTTCTACATGCCCTAACACTTCCTTTCAACGTGGACTTACAAAGTCAAGGTATTGATTTGCAAACATAGGAGAAGCCATTACCTTTTTCAAGCTGTATGTTTTGCTCTTCGGCCAGTTGTGATTCAGCTTCCACGGGCAGCCTGAACTGTCCACACCACCTTTCCTGAACTGATGATTTATATGCAGCTTGCATATAAAGATAACCCAGAAACCACACCAGAGTGCTGCAATAAACAGAGCTGTTAATTGGAGCAGATGTGGGGCTATAGCAAGATAAATCTGGTCATACAGCAGCTCTCTGGAGGAGGAGCAAGCCTGATAGCTGCTGCAGCCACTACAGTTCAATCTGCTGTATCTTTAAATGGTACCCACAGTTTGTGCTGCTCTTTGCAGTGATATTGCCAGCTTTAAGCAGTTCTCCTGTTTCTACCGCCATTGTGCTAGCAGAGCCGTTAAGGAGAACACATGGGAAAACAGATCAGGGAACCGATCAAGCTGAAAAATAACTCTAGTGTTAGTTTGGTGTTGTTTTTTTTTCGATACAGATGTTCCCTGAACCATTTCCTGTGCGGTGGCACTAACAGTTCCCTCGGCAGAGGGGGAGGAATTAGGAACGCTGTAGGAAAGTCATTTGTGTTGACCAGGTTTTGCACTATGTTCCCGCAGGCTGGTACAGTGAGCACAGAATGCTTTTTACTTGTTTCTTTTTAAAAACGCTTGTAATGTGGGCATAGAGATACTACACTTGAAAGATCTTTTATAAAGATTTTTCTGCAAAGAGTGCTACAGGTTTTCAAAAGGTAACTTTCCAGCCCAAACCAGAAATACAAGACTGATGCTGTAATTTCATGATCAGTGTAAGCTGACCTGACCTCCTTCTCTGTCCAGAAGAGAGATGTGATCCCATCCATGCATTGCTGCTCATTCCTGCCCTTGTGGTACTTCCTTTTTTTGGCACAGAAATTCATGGCTTGGATTCAGAGGTGATCTAGATCAAAACTCTCTAGGTCAGACCAGTTCACTGCACAAACATTTGTGTTAGTTCAGGTGACAGGGTGGTATGGTTGTTGGAATAAGCCAGGCAGGGAGGGACTGACTTTCGGGCTCTGGTTACCCAGCCAATTTACTCTGACATAAATTCACCATGCTGACAAGAGGCGGTCTTAATCTCTGCCTCACCTGCGGGGCTTGTTGTCATTCATTTGCACCACTCCCTCTTGTGTGTGCCAGCTCTAGTAGTCATGGAGCTGCACAATGAGCCCTGATCAGGAAGCTAATCCAGCTAAAAATTGACCTAGGGTAAGACTGGCCTGCTCCTTTTAGCAGCATATAGACTTTATACTACATTAAAGTGTTCATATGTTTGCAGTCTCAGTGTAGTATTGTACGTCAGCTTAGAGTAGTCATGAACCTGCAGCTAATGGATGTGCAGAAACATCACCCAAATATGCAGCTGGGTACTGGATCAGCAGAGGTGGTTTTGTACTTGTTTCTTCTATGACTGAGGTTGAACTGGTGAGGTTGGCTTCAGGGTTTGCGCTGTACATTCACAGCACTTCTGAATTGAGCACTCTATTTCAGTCTTTTTCTGTGCTCAAACTCATATTTCCAGTAATTTCTTTGCTGACAAACATCACTACACAATTCCCGATTTCTAGGGTTTTCTAAAAGCAAAATGCTTACTGTTGTGCAAATAGAAATATTTGAGTGGTTTATACATTTACTCTTTCACTGTAGTTTATAAACGTTCTTTCTGTGCTGGGATTTGATTACTTAAGGTGACCTTTTAAAAACTTTTCTTTTTAGACTTACAATAGCAGCATTAGGAGAAAAGCTTAATGATTACTGGAATGAAATGAAAACAAAGAAAAATGAAGAATATCCATTAGCGTTGCCAGTTGAGGAGATACAGTGAGTATCATTTCTAAATAGAAGAATTTTACATACTGTTCTTACTGTTTTACAGTCAGTCATGAAAATGAACTTTTTGTGTGAAAGTTGTGGTATTTTTTCTGTTACAGAAAACAGCCTGATCAGACGTGGGTACAATGTGATGCATGTCTGAAATGGCGGAAGCTGCCAGATGGAATAGAGCAATTGCCAGAAAAGTGGTACTGCTCGCTGAACCCTGACCCACAATTCCGGTAAAATTAGATTTTTGATCAGTATCTAAATACTGCTTTTAGTTCTTATTTTATTACCTGTTATAAGCATGGATGTTAAGCTCATTCTGTTGAACACTTTTTTCTCCCTAACTCAGGAATTGCAACGTGCCAGAAGAACCAGAAGATGACGACTTAATACATCCTACATATGAGAAAACTTACAAGAAAAAGTGAGTACTAGAGACTTTCTTACAAGTGTCTCAGCTCTAGAAAAGGAATGTGAAAATTAAATGCCCTTTTCTCTTACCTATGGTATAATTGCAACTCTTCTGGGAATATATCCAGCCAGAAAATAGTGCCCTGAAATCAAGGCTGGATTGTAGCAGTGAATAGATGGATAGCACTGTTCTTTTCTCTGTTATTAGTACATTGGCATTACATTCAAATGTATCTCTTTGACCTGCTTGCCCTCCTAAATCAGAATTATGAAAGTCATAATGAAAGGGGCCTCTCTCATTTAATAACTACTAAGGAGAGCAATGCAGTAATTTGTGTTCAAGAGGGGCAATGTTTCATAGTAGCAAGTGGTATGGGGATAGTTTGGGATGTTAGACAAGCAAGCTACTACGGCTGTTAGGAGACCATGTCTAGGTAACTTATTTTCAAAGTCCATGTTGAAGCAGCTGAATACCTCAATACATTTATTAAGAAAAAGAAGATTCTTAGCTAAGGTGTATGGAAAAAAACTGACTTCGGTAATTTTAACTAATGCTGGCTAGCATTCTAAAAGTGGGAGTTTTGGGATGTTTTTTCAGTTTTTTAAAATCTCAATCTGAGAGAGAACTTGTTTGAAGTTAAGCTACCTTTAAAATATACTAGTTTCTAAGTTCATGCAGAAAATTTTCATTCAATAAACCACAATATGTTCATCAGAACTTTATTGTATCTAGCTGAGATAAGGAGTATTATGTTTGCTTTTAGATTTTGAGGATGGTTTGGTTTTATAATGAATTAACATTTTGAATCTAAGCTCTTTTTTCTTTTTTTCCTTGCTGCTGTGCAGAGACAAGGAAAAACTGAAGAAGCGACTAGAGTACCACCAGGTAACTCTTGAAGTTGATGGGAAACTGGTAGCAGAGTTGTTCTTGCTGGCAACAATACTATGCAATTTGATCAAATAGGTCAGAGTTTGCTGTAGCTAGCAGCCAACTGACTGGTTCAACATCCTGTCTTGTTTTGATGGCTGTGTGGGTTATGCTCATTATTAGTAAACCAAAAATCCCCTGTCTTTGCAGTCCGATGATGGAAAATTCACAGTTGCTTTCTGTGTAGTATTTAAGAAAGTGTTTGAGACAGACAAAGCTCTCTCACAAAATAGTACTGGAAGAGATGTCAGTCACACCTGTTTTTATGGCATGACATCTAGTTATTGAAAGTGGATTTGTTGTAGAGAGGTGTGATAAGGATATGAAAGTAAAGAGACCCTTAAAACTGCAGTGGGGGCTGGGGATGGACAGACTTAAAGTAGCTGTGTTTTTGCAAGGAAGCACTCAAATTCATATTAAATGCAGATGCAAATCAACATGGTTGAGTGATGAGAATGTGTAGATCGTAACTCAGAATCAAATTTCCTGAGTGTGATTTAGTTTAAGTTGCTTTCAAAGTAAAGCGCTAACTTAAGATCACTCCATTTCTGGAGAAGATATTTTGCACGTGCTGTTTTAACCTACATACTTCATTGTATTAATTTTTCTGCCATTACTTTTACACAAGTGCAAAAGTAATTTCTAAAAGTAAAGTAGTGTTTATTTTAGACAAACTGAATTAATCATGACAGCTTTAACAAAGATTACTGTCCCATACTTCGTGTATGATGGTCAGACTTCAGACAGAGATACAGCTTGGGAAAAGCTCTTGCCTGAGACTCTACATGGTACTTTAAAATAGCTGTTTCTGGAGAAGGGCTTGTAAGGGTCAGAAAGCTGCTTTCTGACAGCAATAAATTGTGCACGGAGAAGAGTGTGCAGCTGGTGAACAGCATTCAAAGTCCTCTAAGAATTCTGCCAGAAGCCTGTAATTATGAACTTGCTTTCTAGTATGTTGTATGTCTTAAACCAATGTAAGGAAATACTTCACACGCATCAGTAGAGTTTGGGGGGAGGGGTTGTGCGATCATTAAGTTAAGAAAACTGGGGTTTGCAATGTGGAGTCTAGTTAGCCTTTCTTGTTGCAAAATACTGAGCCTGGGTTCAGGGAAATCCTTGTAGTATACATAAGAAATGGTGGTCAGAATTTTAGGTGTTGGCAGGTAGTTAGGAGAACTGCTTACGCCTATTCTGAAGAATCTACTAATGTCTGTTTCTTTTCATTCTTAACTAATATTATCTTATAGATCAATAATGAAATGTTTTTAAAAACACCTGTGTCTTCAAGTAAAGACTTCAAAACATTCTCAGCTGTGAGTGGAAGGGAAGCTGTTCCACGATCTCTTTTACCAGAAACATCAAATGCTTCTGTCAAAAGACCTCTGCTTATTTTAAATAGATCAGTATCTTCACCACATTCTGATTCTGATAACAGGTTAGTGAACCTGTACAAAAAACATTCCTATTTATTTCTAAAATTAATAACTTAATGAAAATGATGATGTTGAATGTAGTCCTGTCTTCAGGTGATATATTAATTTTGGCAGCTGTCATTTTTGAGAGTATAGGAAGCAGCAGTTTGATTAAAGGTACCTAAAACCTTGTGAAATACAGAAGGGGGAACAGCAAAAAATGCTGTGCACTAGCAAGGAAAATTGCTTAGTAGTTTGTCTGTTTAGGAAAAGACTGTGATGTGTTAACCACACTCTGCAGTATGTTTTCCTTAACCTTTGTTGATTTAAGGAACAGGTGCAGGGGGGTGTTCCATAAATACTGAGTCTGTTTCCAAATCATGTGTGAAGGTAATAATTTTAGTGTGTGGATGTCAGCCACTAGTTCTGGCTACACATCTTAAAATACTGTGCAGGGAGATCTCTCTTTCCAGTTAGAGTGGTAGTTTTTAATAGTGCTTATAGAAACACTAAACATTGTTTGAAACAAATGACTTTGCGGTATTTGAGCAATACAATAATCAGTTTAATATTTTGCTTCTCAGTCTTAAACGGAAGACACCTAGTTGTGTGACACCTGTGTCGTTAAAGAAACCTCGATTAAAGGACAAAACATTCAACAACCATGATGATGATGATGATGAAGATGTCATTATTTTAGAGGAGAGCAGTACTCCAAAGCCTTCGGCAGATTCTGATGTTCCTGTAGTAAAAACTGAATTTATTCATTTGGATCAAGAGGAGAAGCAGAAAGAAAACTGTGATGTCAGAGAACCCTGCAGCGCAGCTACTTCAGAATCAAAAAGTGAACAGTTGACCTCAGCAACACAGACAGAGGTCCCAAACTTAGTTGTTAAAAAGGAAGAGATGGAGGATGACACCGATACTCAAGTTCCTAGGGCAGAGATGGAAACTAAACAGTACCACGCTAATGGTGTTGCTGAGACATCTGTAGATCTTGGAAACGAACTGCAAAAAGAGCTGCAATTATTAAACAAAGAAAAAGAAATGTACCAAAACAAATGTGAAGTATTAACTAAACAAGTAGAAACACTGGAACAGAGGATTTTAGAAATGAATAATAAGTATGTAAAAAAAGAAATGTGCCATCAGTCAACTGAGACAGTTTCTTCATTTGAAGAAGAAAATGTTCATGAAAGAAGTTTAGCAGAAGTGTCCATTCTCTATGAACAGGCCTTAGAAGAAATAGCAAAACTAAAGGAACAATGCAGTACCCTGCAGAACTTAAAAACTGAATGCAGCAAATGTGCTGATAGTGAAAATAAGAGCGAAGTAGATGAAATTGCTGTGCAACTGGATGATGTTTTCAGGCAACTGGACAAGTGCAGCATTGAGAGAGACAGATATAAAAGTGAGGTATGTTTGTTAAAACAGTGGTATACTTCAAATTAACAATTAAATTATTTTTATTTTTTAATGGGTATTTCATAGCAGTTCTAGTACACAATGTGTCTTATAGTTCAGGTCACTAACTAATCAAGCCATCTAAAAGGGAAGAAATACTAAATTAGCCTAGGAGTTTCTGGTTTTTTGCTTCCATAGATAGTTATTTCTATCTATGGAAGAGATACTTGAGAGAAGACTGTGAAGCTCTGAGTGGCTCTGACTGCAAGACAAGAGGGACTGAGCAGGCTTAGAGGGAGTACACATACAGTGGTTCAGCTGACAGCTGGCTATTTTAAAGCAGGTTGTCTAGATTGTTGATTGCTTTTTATTAACTTTTCAGTGAGATTTTAAGATATGACAAAGTTAAATGATTTAAATTTGTATAAGTTGTCTTTCTTTTAATCCACTACAATTTTATTTGATATTTAAAATTATTTTTATTTACTTGCCAGACTGAACTACTAGAAGTGGAAAAAAATCAAATTGCCTGTCAGTGTGAAGAACTCAAAGCAGAAATCGCACAGTTAAAAGCTTCAATTCCACAAGCAGTAGCACATGCAAATGATTCTACCACCAGTAATGTAGAAGACTCTGTAAATTTTTCTGATGGAGAAAGGTATCAATTTTGTTCTTTCTAGACTATATTTCAAGCAAGGTTGTGGCTGATTGTATCTGAAACATCTTGATGAAGGTTATGTCTGATAATTGTGTAATAAAATGTGATGCTTGGAATTCTTTTCTGCTGTCTCTTGTGACTCCTAACTCAGTAACATTTTTTTATCAAGTGATTTATTTAATATTTTTATGATTTAGGTATTTCTGTGAGCAGACTTGGCCATTGCACAGTAGAATGCCGTACTGACACTTCTTTAAAATATCAAAAAATGTTATATAATTTCTAGACATTACTTGTAGAACAAGGAGAAAGAGAGAAAGGAGGCAGGAAAGAGGGTGTTCATTAGCTTATGCTGTGTGTAGATGAACTTCACTTTTATGTTCTATTTTTCTTTCTTGGATCCATAGTACTCTACTGAAAAGAGTTTGGATTTGGTTTTGAAACTTAACTTTCCTGTAAGAATTTATTGCTGCAGACCAATCCTATGGAACTAGGTTGTATCCAGAGTATATCTTTGAACTAAAAGGGTTTAAACTAACAAATAGAGAGCTTGCAGTTCTTGGTTAATAGAAATAGCAAACACACAAAAGTAGTACACGTACCACCAGATGGAAGCAGGGATGAGCAGTCCAGCAGCAATATAGGCACACTGCCTGGGCATGTAGGATGGAATTGAAAGCCAGAGCTCAGCTGGAGTTAAAGCTGGCAAGGCCTGTAAAGGGCAATCAGAAGGGCTTTCTGTAAGTGCAGTGGGAGCAACAGAGGAAGTAAGAAAAATATGGGCCTGCTGCTCAGTGGGGCAGGTGCTCAGTAGCAAAGGACATGAGGTGCATGAAGCACAAATTACTGAGGTACCCAGTATCCTCTTTACCTTGGTAAGGTCTTCACTGGTAAGGTCTGCCCTCTGGCCACCCAAGTGGTAGTCTTAGGGAGTGAAGCATTACCTGTAATAAAGGTGACTGAATTAAGGGACCATTTAAGCAAATTTGACATATACAAGTCCATGAGACCAAATGAGATGCATCAGAGGGAGCTGGCCAATTGATAGAGAGTTGACCTTGCAAAGATACCTCCAAAAGGTTGTGGAAGTTATGATCCTGATGCCTGGAAAAATGCAGTCATCATGCCCAGCTTTAGGATAGGCAGAAAATGTAGTCTGGGAAGAGCATCAGGCAAATCTATCTGGAAGCTACCTGCAGCCCCATGATAGTCAAGGTGATTAGGAACAACCAGCATGGATTTACAGAGGGCAAATCCTGCCTTTGCAACCTCATTGCCTTTTACAGTGAGACAACCAGCTCTGTGAACCTTCATTTTAGCAAAGCTTCCAGTGTGGGCTGCCATAATATCATCATAGCAAAGGTTGTGAGGTATGGTTTGGATAGGTAGTCTAGGAGATGGGTCATAAAATTGGCCAGACTGCTGAGCTCATGGATCAGTATCGAGATCAGTAATGGTTAATGCCTTCACTAATGGCCTAGATGATGGAGCAAAATTAATTCAGTAAATTCACGATGACATCAAATTGGAGGGAACCATTGATACTCTGGAGGGTAGGACTGCTGTTAAGGAACATTGACCTATTGGAAAAATGGACTGAAAGAAGCCTGAAATTCAACAAAGACAACTGCAGAGTTCTGCACCTGTTTTGGAAATACCCATGCAGTTGAACAAGCTGGAGACTACTCATAGGAAAGCAGCCTGGAAGAAGCAGCTTGGAAACCTGTGATGCTGGTGGACTAAAAGTTGAATGTGAGTCAGCAGTGCACTCTTGTGGTGGGAGAACCCAGTGCCTACTGGGCTATATTGGCAAGAGTTCAGATAGTTTGAGGGAAGAGATTCTTCCCTACTATTGGCATTGTGAGACCAAAGATGGAGGATTGTGTCCAGTTTTGGGCTCCCTGCTATATGGATGACCTTGGCATATTGGAGCAATTCTACTAAAGGGTCACCAAGATGGGTAGGGGCCTGGAGCATCTGATATAGAAGGGGAAGCTGAGGGAAATAGCCTTACAAAGAACAGGTTACCTTGAAATCATACTGCTCTCTTCTGCTGCCTAGTGAGAGGGTGCAGAAAATATGAAGTCAGCCTCTGCTCATGAGCACAACGATAGGATGAGAGGCAACGGACACAAGCTGTAACAAGGGAAAAGTCTGTTTGAACTTTTTTTTTCCCCTCTCTATTTACAGTGAGGGTAGTCAACCCCTGAAAAAGGGACCCAGGGAGGCTGTGGAATCTCCATCCTTGGAGATTTTCAAAACACAAGAAGGTCCTAAGCAGGGCTAACTCAGATCAGGCTGCTTTGAAGAAGGGGGGAGGGAAGGGAAGGGGACTGGATGATTTCCAGAGACCCCTTTCAGTTTACTTTTTTTTCTGTGGTTAAATCTCCCCTTTATCTGCCAGCAGTTCATCATCATCTTAGAGTATCTGACTTGTGCTTCCTCAAAGAATTAGCAAATATATGCAGGACTTGTAAGTAACTTCCACCACAAGTCCTATTGGGACATGATGGCACTGTGAAGACTGGCTACAGATGATAAAGGAACCGGTGGTAGAAGGGAATGCTCAAGAGAAGAGATGGGGAATTTGGAAGGAATTTCATCAGAAAGAGGACAGAGCAAGGGAATCCAGGAAAGAAAAGAGGAGGCATAGCATTTTCCCTGTACTTTGACTCTTACCTTATTTCCTCTTTATATTTTAAAGCCTTTGGACAAACTACTCTTTCTTCATCTTGTCTCTTTTTCTTCGTCTTTCATTTCATCTCCATAGGTTATAGTAGTTAGTACTTGTATAAAAATACTGGGGTTTAATATTGTTTGAGAAATAATAAAGTGTTGTGGGATAAAGAATTGTGACAGTGTTTATTTGCTAACTTACATAAAAGCATTTGTAAATATTTCTGATCTGTTTTGGGAACAGCAGATTCCAGTTTAGCCCTTAGTATTTGTTTGAAACTAAGGGTGTATACACATTCAAAATTAAAACTTGAGAGGCTCAGCTTTGAAAAAACTGGTAGATTTTGAAATGATGCAGCTTTAACTGTATCAGGTTTTTTGTTGGTTTATGGAAGTCATGCACGGAGCCTTTCTGGTACAGAGCATTAGTCCAGCTTTGTTAAATAAAGTACTGTGTATTTGAATGTAAAACTTCATCTACATCTAATCATTATCTCATTATTTCTTCACAGCCTGAAACTACGCTCTCTTCGAGTGAATGTTGGACAACTGCTGGCTACAATCATGCCTGATCTAGACTTGCAGCAAGTAAATTATGATATTGATGTAGTAGATGAAATTCTGGGACAAGTTGTAGAACAAATGCATGAAATAAGTAGTACTTAATATCTTAAGATTTCAGCAGACTCTTACTTGATCTTCCATTATAACCTTTGTGTAGGTTCAAAACTGTATATACTGCTTCTTCACTTTATATATTTGACATAGTTTGATCAATAAGTGTATATACTCTATGCGTTTAGATGTTCCCACAGATGCAGTGAGTGTTATCTTCACTTCCTCTTAAAGGAACACTGTCAATATTGACCAACACTGATGTACTTAATTAAGGATTTTGCTTTTAAAATGTATTTGTAATTTGCAAATATTTTTATTATTAGGAATCTTAATACTTTTCTACAAAAGCTTTTTCGTTGACTTTTGATCTTATATAAGCATTAATACTTGCAATTATTTCCTCTTCTGAAAACTAAGTAGTAGAATGTATTAAAAATGCAAAAAAGAACTTTCCTTGATTTCCTGCTCAGAACAAACCTTAGTAGTGTTGTCATATACTACAGTATTTTTTCATTGCTGTCAGCGATGTTATATGTTGCATTAATGGGATAGAAACTAGTAGGTGAAAATTTTGGCCATATGGGTAATATCTGTGTTTTACTACAAAAGACGAAAACATCTTTAAGGGTTTTATCCTGAAAACTGATGGTCTTCGACTCCCTTTTGGATTTTTTTGATGTCACTAAAGAACATTATATGTACATAGTTCTGCAGCATAAACAATTCCATGAGCTATGGCTAGGATATTTCAGCCTTTTCAGTGATGGAAGCCACATGCCTGTTTGTGTCCCGCCCTTGCTACTTGATTGTTGTTTCTTACGTCCAAGAACCCGTCTGTATTTGAGCACAGAGGGATCTTCGGTTCTGCCCTGTAGTTCCCATTTGAACACAGCAATGCTGGTTCACAAGTCCAGGTATCTACCAGTACACGGCTTCAGTGGTCAGATTTCGCACACAGCTCTTGCCTATTTTTTTTTTCCAAGTCCAACGCAGCTGGTGGAATGGGAAGCATCCTGGTGGACCATTGGAGAGAACAAGCTGGGGTGGCATATCCAAAGCTAGGTAGGATCCCTGGGCAACCTCTGCACTGCATCAAACACCACCTCTTGAGACCTGAAGGCTTTTTTTTTTTTTAAGGGAAGCCCAGTGCTGAACAGGATTGACATAGAGGTTCTGTGATGTATACAAACGCTTATATATAATCTCAAAAAACCCCAACTCGTTGCAGTATTAAACATGCAATCTGTCTTGGAGTCTTTCAGGCTGACGTGAGGGTGCTGAGATTCGTCTCCAAAACTTACCTTCCTGTCAGAATGTGCCATGCTGAGTACGAACAAGTCGGACTACTAAATCCTTGATTAACTAGTTGAATGGAAGTACTTTGAAAAGGAGGCATGTTTCCTTATCTGTGGTGTTAACTACTACAAAGTGAGCTAAAGCTGAAAATGTTCAAATACAACTTGTTTATGCTATCTTAAAGTTTAGACATCTTTTATTATAAGCAAAATAGGGGAGTCCCTCTTTCTCTCCCTTTTTTTTTTTTTGTGTAAATGTTTTATGACTCTTAAGTTACAGGTTCTATGCTCTAATGCTCATGCGAAAACTTCGTGGAAGAAATGGTACCAAGAGAAATCGCTGTTACAGTGGTGACAGTATTCTCAGCCAATTGCATGTTTTTCTATTGAAGTCATTCAGGAATGAGAAGAGAGGCAGCAAAGATACCAAATCTACCTTTTACTCTGTGGTGGTATTTATCATCCAAACAGAGATCAAGAAAAATGGTTCTTGCTTTTAAAAAATTCTAAAAAAAAATACATTTTTTTAAAAAATCATGAAACAGCATTCAATACGGTCATTCCTAGGAAGTGTCTTTTTTTATTAAGCCAATATTTTTGGCTTTTGCACTGCTACTGTCCTGATTTAATTAGATTATGTTCCTTTTAGTTATATTCAGTCAGTTTCTTTCGATGGGACAGTATTTCAATTTTAAGATACTGTCTGTTCTAATATGCCAATAAGGATAATGCAGTACTGTTGTACTTTATAATGGATAAATTGAATGTTTGATTTTTTGAAGAGGTGGCTGTAATATAACTGTTTGTATGACTTTTAAAAAGTTTATATTTTTCCATTTATTGGTGTGTGGTTTTCCATTTCTTAATCATTATTTATTATGTTTCATCAGACTCTCTAGTTGAATTTCTTATAGACAACTGGCAAAATATAGCATAGGTCTTTATTAAAAATGGCAAATTTACACTATGGAGAACAGTGGACTAATGGAAAAGTTTTTTATTTACTTGCTAAAATGTATTTTTTGTAAAAAATAAAAAACAATATATAAATCTGAGTTTGCTGGATCAAAACTTGTATGTGATCAAATGCAATGTTTTTGTTTATAAATAAATACTATGCAGAATGGTTGATGTTTCTGACTTACTTTAAGTATTTGGTGTTAGGAGAAAGCTGTCCTGGTCTGGTTTTGAGCGGATGACTTGGGCAGACCCAGCGCGCCCTCAGCCCCGGTGGGCACCCTCGCTGAGCCCCAGACCAGCTGGCCGCGCTTCCCTAGACGGGAGGTTTTGCACGGGGGATGCAGTTACCCAGTTACAAGTCTGTTACTGTGATGGGATTTGGGACGAAACTGGTGTTCAAGGCCTCGTGGGAGAGCTGCTGTCTTTGGGGCGCTACGGCAGACGGGAAGGCAAGGGTGAGTTGGGGAGTTGGGTCGGAGTCATGGCCGCTCTTTGGGTGAGGGTCAGCTCTCCTTCTCCAGTCTTACCCCTAGCCAGTTGCTCGGCTCCCCAGCATGACACTCGAGTTCTTTCAGCTATTTTTGTGACACTTTTTGAGGCTGAGGTAGACCATTCTTCCCTGACCAGGACTTGGTCGTCTAGTACAGATGACTGACAAGAGATGGCGGTGTGCAGGGTGGTGGTGTGGAAAAGGTTCTCACCTGTTGTGTTAGGCGGTGTAGTAACTGGTGAGCTCTTCACGAGTACAAGTCTTGGCTTTAAGGACATGGCCAGTGGTTCTTTTTCCCGTTGGCATTGGGAAGGTGGCGAGGAGCGGCAAAGCCGTAGGTGGTGGTGGGAAGGAGGGAAAATAGAAGCCGGTTTCTAAGGATGTAAATTTTTATCACTATTGTTTCAAAGGGCAAAGTTTGCAGTTGAAAGAAGGGGAAGTGAGGGGATTGGTCACCCTTTGACCAGTCTAAATGTAAAACCATCTCAGAGACAGCACTGCCTTTTCCCCCAGCGACCCCGCTGCCCGCGGTCCCACCGCGCTGCCCGAGGGCGCCTCGTCGCCGCTCC